CGTGGAAACTGCATCAGTTGTTCACTTATTTTTTTAAAGTTCGAAATAGCTTAGACAACCCAAGAAACTTTGTAATTCAGAAGTTACCTGCAAGTAGTTCATTCGGTATCGTTTATTTATCCCAGGTTCGCACCTCTGTTCCGTCTCTCGATACTATAAGAAATCAAGTAGAACCTTATGGGTAAAATCATGGATTCTTCGCTGTTCGATGAAGTAGATATTGAAGAGATCGCACTGTTCCTGAGGCTGAATCGTTCAGCTCTCATGAAGATTTGGACGAGAAGCGTGATTATTGTACAAACTGCAGCGGCTTTGCCGGCAGCGATGGGCTGTACGGGTACCACTTGCACGCTCCCCGATAATAACAAGTGGGTTATCAAAATACTGAGAATTTCGGTAAACCCCAGGTTTGGATTTGTGGCCCAACTCTCCTTACATCGATACATCTTTTGTTCTTAGCAAAAACATGATTAGCACTATAGGTTCAGTAACTTTGAAATGTTTTTATTAACTTGAAAGTGAGAATTTTTCTTTCAAAAAATTGGTCGGCTGCAGGAAATTATACAAATTAGAGAGTGGGGCTCAAACGTGGATAGATATCTTAAATGCAGAACTCTGGAGCTTCAGGCTATGAAGAACTTTGGGGCCGATCTGTTAGTTCCATGGACATGCAAAACCGCTAATCATTCCCTTAAAAGGTGTGAGAATGTGGAATAATGAGGAGAAGTATGCTAGTCTGCGTACACCTTTAACAGGTTCAATGCTCAAACACTTCTCATAAGTAAGCGAAGCAACGGATGTTGTAAAGTAAGGCATTGAATGCGCCTACATGTTGTCTTAACAGTCTGCTTAGAGAACAAACGACCTACTCTACATGTTCTTATAAGAAATTAGGGAATTTGCCGCTGTCACAAATAAAACACTTTTCAGTCTATCAGCGCGAAAGAAAGGAACAGTGTGGAAGTCATCTCATCATAGCTCACTAAAGTTCCATCACAGGATTGTGAGAAGTTCCGCGCGAGAGAATTTTGAATAACATTTGATTATTGTAACAAAATAGTGGAGATTGGATATGAATAAAGCGTCAGCGAAAAGTACGAGCATCTTGTAAAACATGCAAAAATGCATGTCAGAAAACCACGGCATTTTGTAACCAACATTGCAAAGATGTGCGTAACAAAACCCAGAGAATGAGAACAACCCGTTTTGCTTGCATACAATTTGGCTAATGTGCTTAGTTAGAGCAACTCACAGAAGGAGCAAAAAGGCGTTTTGCAAGTCGAAGATGTATAAACTGGTGAGGAGTATATAAAGAGGCACAGGTGTCATTCATCATTTGACAAGTTCTATGTTTCAAAAGCAGCACTTGACCCACTTTTTGCCTATTGTCACAGCACTCTGAGCATTTCAATCATTCTTGGATTACTTAAGAATTGTTGCGCCAACTCCGTACACAATAGATCACGGGGAGTGAAGATGAAAAAATTGCAAAAACTTGTTTCCGCTATTATTACGTCTTTTTGAGCGCAGGCTACCATAAAAACGAAGTGACCCCCTATTGACTGTTGGATCTTTTTCTTCTAGGAACTAGAAAGCAAAGCAATTTTAACGCAGGCAACCTTGATTTTCATCTGCATATATAAAGCCTGAGTAAAGCTCAATATAATCTCCTTTCAACTCTAAAAACATCAAAATAGCTCCTAGAATTTGTTGTGTGTCAACTTTTATTCTCAAACTTCAACGATAAAGTTTTTCTGTCGATAAAAGTCACTTTCAGTAGGAAAATTTAGATATATCAAAAAATGAGAAGGACAGCACAGCTTTTCTACCTCATTGCTTTCATTTTTACTGGATCTCACGCATTCTTATGGAATCTTCTCGGCCTCGGCGGCGCAGGAGGTGGCGGAGGACTCGGATCGCTGCTGTCAGGACTTAGTGGAGGACTTGGCGGCCTTTTGCCAGGATTGGGCGGAATGGGCGGATTGGGCGGATTGGGCGGAGGTGGTGGCCAGTGTGCTTGTCCGTAAGTGTTCTACTGATTGTGAATAAACATCCACCACAGATTCATTATTTTGGTTTAGTGGTGCAGGTGGTGCACCAGCGCCGAGTGCATGTCCGGCACCGGCGCCGTGCCCCGCAGCTGCTCCCGCACCTGCTCCCGCACCTATTTTTGCCCCACCTCCTCCTGCGCCTGCTCCATCACCAGGTGGCTATGCTCAGCCTGGCCTAGCAACAGCTCCAGAAGCTGGCCCAGCATCAGGTGGATATGGTCCTAGCTACGTTCCGTCAGGAGGAGGACGTAAGCGTTTAGCAGCAGTTCTTGTTCTTCACATTATAAAATTTGTTCAGAGTATGCGTCAGCAGGAAGGTGAATTAGGACCACTGTTATTGATGATTGTACATATTGGACAGATTCAGATATGATGTTGAATGGAAAACATAATGATGCTGAATAAACATTATTTTTGTATACCCCAGAGAGATTACTCACTATAAGACATAAGCGCATCACCTTTTTTTCCGAAAAAATTGGCGCTGAAATCCTTTCTCATCACATGTACGCTGTAGTATTGGAAGGTCTCTTGAGTAATTAACGAGTCCCTTCTTCTCTACAAAGCCAATATAAGCGTCTCATATAGGTACGGATTTATTAGCTTCTGAGGCAATTTATGGCAGACCTAGTAAGCACTGCACGATCTGTATTATTTTGCACGTTAAACAACAATTTGGGGTCACATGTAGGCAAATATCAGGCAACTTACCGAAGATTGCATGCTGTGTTGTTGTGGAATGATTAACAAACGTTTTACCGCCTTCATCAAGGAGACAGAAGTCTGCATACTCTGAAACTTATAAGCTGGGATCCGAAGGAAGCGTTTTCTTCAAAAGCTTTACCGCAAAATTTTATGCGCGCCCTTTTTCACTTACGTGTCGTTAAGATTTATGTGTAATGATGTAATTAAAACACATCGTTGACCTCTAATTGAGCCCACATTTTTGAAAGAATTTCAGAGAAAATTGAGGGATGGCCTTTTTCTTAAACCTTCTTCCTCCATCACTGACAGACTATGATGAGGTTAAAAAAGCGGTGATACCGTTTTAGCTACATGATGGCAGCAGCTCATCCAGTTATGAACATTTTGCACTAGAATTAGCAGCAAACATCACATTGACAGATTGGCTTATCATAAATTGCACGGTTTCCTAAGGCTGGCTTTAGACTGATCCGATGGTCCAGGAACAGTTTCAGCATAGTTTTCAAATCGTACTGAAACTGTTCCTAGACAGTCAACTGCCGGAACTGTCCCTGGCTCAGTCGACTGTCGGAACTGTGCTGCATAACCTGCAGCCCGGCTGCATACATTTTGAGCGACGGGAGTTGGAGATTTTGACGTTTTCAATGGTATTTCTCTCTAAGTTACTTATTCGGTCTCACTCCCCTGCTCGGTTCCACTTTTGATGGAGAGCCTCAATCTTGAAGCGGATTGGAGAATGAGCGTCGTTTACGCTCCCTCAAATTCACGCTCGCTATCTGCAAAGTCATTTTTTGAAGAAAGTTAAAATTATTGTTTCTGGTAAAAATTACTAATTATTGCATGGTATCTCTACTTTTTTGCCATTTCTACTACTACCGTCGTCTTTTTTATCTTTTTTCTCAATTGATTTGGCTTGAGTAATCATTCGAGGGGAAAAGTAAGCGCCACATTATGGTTATCAAGAGTTCTGCTCAAATCGTATTCCACATGAAGTTTGAGTTGAAATGTGGTAGCAGTCAAAAACGAGATTTTCCGTCAAAAATCGTATCTCCGCTCCAAAGAATCTCAAAAAATCCCTATCTGTCTTACCATATGCTTGACACATGTAACCGTACATTTTCAGTATTTTCCCTATGGTTGGAAATAAAGAAGAAAATGAATGGAGTAAAATTGTGAGAGCCAAAAAAACTGGCAAATTTGACGCCCTGAGCTCCTCGCACGCACTTGATAATATAGCTCATACATGCAGATGTATGACCATGTATTTGCGAACTTTGTATGTGTCTCAGTTCTTGAGAAATGCTAATGTTTTGGTTAGAAAAGGTAAAAAAATTATTGGAGACAGTAACAGTTCCAAATGTCAAAACTATCAGTGCTGGGTGGGATGCCTGCTTCTTGCTACGGAGCAACATAAATGATGATCCGTTATTGTGTTTGGACAGATTGGTTCGAATAAGATAAACGAAAAAAAAACAACTTTTGCTTTCTGACTTCTGCAACACTGCAACTTCATCAACGATACGTTTAGAGATCTTTCCGAAAAATCACTCTGCAGATAGCGAACATGAACTCAAGATTATTCACACACATCTTATATGAAAAGGTCACGGTGGGCTCGGATCCTTCTCTTGTTAACTCTCAGGCGATGCTTCCTGATTTTGAACTCCCGGAAAGTCCTTCACACTACCAAAGTCGTTGCTTCGCTTATCCCAGTCTTCAATTCTCGAAAAAATTTTAGCTTTCAAAGGAAAAAAAAGTGGCAGTTTGGAGCTTTTGATTATCCAAAGGTTACTTGAAAACCAAACAAATCAAAAAGCTTGTCAACATGTAGTTATTGGCATCAGTGGCGGTCGCAGGATTTTCCGTCTGGGCGGAGAGGGGGAGGGGGAAACGCGGCAAGAATTTGTCAGAATGAAGGTGCGCGGCGCCAACGCATTCCGAAAGGATTTTTGAGATGCTTCCCAAAATTTCTGCGGCCCTGAACCCCCCCCCCCCCCTCCTCCAAAAAAATTTTTTTACAAGGTAATTAATCAGATATTCTGAAAACTGTTGGAGCATTTAAGTATAAACAAATTAAGCGTACATCTTTTTTTACTCATGTAAGTAACTTTCTTGCTACGTTTTGTTACGAAAATTTTGCGACTCATTCTCGGAACGGGGGGGGGGGGGTCCTCCACTTACATTATTCACGATCTCTCTCATCCCCACACAACTGCTTGCTGCTATATAGAGATCCGTTTCGCCTGAAAAAGCCTCGTTCGTGAGATCAAAAGATGAATTTCATTTTAGCGACAAATGAATATGTTATTCGTGTTTACCGCATAGGATTACCCTATAGTGCAAAGTTATAGCGATTTCTGACTTTTCGCAGCTTAGTTATTGACAAACTGCCTTCAAAACTTGACGCATTTGACTTGTTCAACCTCTCAAAGGCGCCCCACCTTAATTTGTGTTTAAATTTCATTTCTTTTTCACTGATTCCAATGTGCTATGTGATCAGCATGTCAAATAAGCCCTATAAGCCAAGTTTCAGCAAAATCTGATGCACTCTAAAATTTTTCCCATAGTACCGTAAACCTACCGTAATCCTCACATAAGATGGTATAATTCGGCAAAAATGTGTGCATTAGAAGCTTACATCATATTCCTTGTATTGCCAAAAAATGAATGCTCTACGTTCAAATAGGCAAAAATTATATAAAAAGTTGCATTACTTATGTGCCAACCTAATAGCAATAATGGCTGTGTGGTCAGTAGGCACAGCCCTTCTACGATGTTTAGACTATTTGTCAACCGACTTCCCTGGGGCATTGTTGTCAATTGCTGATCGATGAGAAAGAAGATTTTTGAAAATGGCAGCGTTTTGGATCCGTAAAGATTTTTCTAACGCTTCGGTATATTCTTATGTGATTGCAGCGTTCCAATCGTTGTCAGATACTAACAACAAAGACATTGGAACCGGGTTTTTTTTGAGCCTGCGGTCAATTTAAAGCGCCGAATATTGATAGCATTACTTCGATGGGCGAAGCTCAAGCCCTGTTCCTTATTACAAATGTGCATTTTCTTACATAGTTTCAATAATATGCTAAGCTCATCTACTTTTGATTTCTGTTTTTACTCGGATGTTTAGTTATTAGGTTGTCCAGAAATTAATCTCCATTTCAAAATTCAACCGCAATAAGTCCTACACTTCCCATTTCTAAATAGGTTGCAAAGTACCATTCGATAGAGCAAAGCATGCACTACAAGATAGCAATCTTGACTTATCAACGGCTTTGATCTGCCTAGATGCCAAGAACTATTAGGTTGTAAAGAAAGTTCTGCCAATAGACGCTGAGCTGAATTGTTTATTCATATCTTCATCATGAGTGGCTGTCCATTGGCGATATTTTGGCCATTTATACTAACAACCTTAGGCTACTGACTAGGTATGTTATAGATGCTCTTTTTCGAAAAGCGCGCTGGCTGCGTTTCAAAATATGTGGAGAGTTCCATTTTTTGGACCCTGAATTCAATGAGTTATTTCTTGCCTGCAAAAAGACCCAGATACCGGGGCAAGTAATATTCGGTATTGCTTCACTAGCCAATATACAGGGTATAAACGGATTTTCAAATCAAGCTTCTGGAAGTTTTGCGCGTCCATAATCTAAAAAATGTGCCTTTTCGCAGACCTGAGCGCAGCGGATTTTTCTCTTTTTTGGGCATTTCTTCCTAGTTAATCGTAATTTGTTCGAGCTGAATTGCGTTAGGTAGTAATGGGCCACGCACATTGAGAACACATTTCAAACCAGCCCCTTGCGTTCGCATTCGTTTTTGGTATTGACGAGAAAAATTGGCAAAACTTTGTTTACAACCTTATAAAAAAATTCAACTGCTCGAAAAATTTAGAAAAATCGTAACTCAGTTCACAAAAATCCCAAAAAATGCTAACTTGCTCACGTAAAAACTATCCACAAAAGACATCTATATACGTCGCTGCCGTATTTTTCCCTCTGTTAAAAATCAAGAAAACGGAAACTTTTGTGCATTTGTTTGAGTGATTGCCGTCCCCTCATAAGAAGTTGAATATTACAAACTGTATAAGTACAATCGTAAACTTTCAGCTCTCTACAAGTTCTAGTTTTCGAGAAATTTGTATTTTAGCTTGGACCACCTGACTAGGGAAGGTCACAGATTCTTCATTTCTCTATATTTTGCTTCACATTTTCGTCACAATTTTTGGTCCTTTCTTTTCTCATCTCGTTTTTATTTGTATGAGCTAGTGAAAAAAAGTAATTGAAGAGTTTCTCTCTTCTCTAGTTGCTAGTAGCTTTTTGCTTCTACTAAGTACATGTGTCATTTTGATTTTTGAAGTATGTCCCTTTCATCTTTCAGCTTTTTTCGGCCAATCGGTCGCCTAGGGGTGGGAGAACGAAAGCCGCCAGTTTGAGCTGCCTTTCGCGGCCAACTGGTCCTTTCGCAGTGTTGGTGCATGTCGTTCCAGGACCAGCAGTCCGCGAAGGCGGCCCAAACTGGCGGCTTTCGTTCCCCTACCCGTCGCCTAGACAGTTATAGTGTGGACCCCGATCAGCTTCCCATAGGTACCTGCGCGGCGCGCCCGCAGCGCCTGCCTTCAG